TAAACTTATGCATGAGAGCAAATGTCACATGGGGTTGTCCTCTTACACCCAATCAGCTTGTCCTTTAAATCAGCACATGCCCTGCCTTTTGCCAGAACAAACCTTCATGAAGCCACAGAAAGAGTGAGATCAGAGAACTGATCAATGCAGTGAGGTTGGTTTGTTGCTTTTTTTCTGAAATAGGATTTATGCAGTATTATTCAAAGCAAAATTTAAAAGCCAGTTTCACCCTTCATAGGTAGGCTGATACGTACCTAAATATGCTGCTGTGTGACTCGGACAAAAGCAGTGGCATGCGATTCCAAGTGTCAGTTATTCTCCAATGTCTTTGTCTTTCTAAAAGTCTGTTCTCTTCACGTGTTTTATAGCCTTGCTCTGCCCTGTATTTAGCTAACTCTTACATTTCCTAATATTGACTTGGATACAGCTGCATATACACAGTTAACCCACAGTTACTCTTACCTCCAAAATGAATCTTTCAGAATGAAAAAGAAAAAAGAAACACCCTCAACCCACATTATCCTGGAGACAAAGTTGGTCGAGTTCAATGAAGGAGAGCACGTTAGATCAATGAATGAGTGCAGAAATTTGTGCTCAGTGCAGAGATTCAATACTTGGCTGGTAACAGCTGCTGCACAAGTGGGTGATCTGAATGTCAAGCAGTGCAGCTGGTGGCTAAGGTGGAAGGCATCTCTGCTAGCACGACCTCTCGCTTCACGCTTGGTTCAGGTGTGGATGCTGAACACATGCAGAAGAAATCAGGGACACAGAGCTAATAAGGTCCCAGCTAACAGACAGTAACTCAATAGGTATAGTGAAGGCATCCTGCTTGGATTTATAAATTATCACAGTCATTTTCTTCCAGTATTAAACTTGACAAGGTCTATTTGACAAGAACTGCCAACCTCTCCGTGGCAAGATGTACAAAGGCTGAAATTCTGAACTTCAAATATAGAGCACAGAAGACAAATTGCTGAACATTGTCCTGCCACAGAGCACACTGAGGTAGCTCAGCACTAATTTTAATCTATTTGTTTTAATGTCTACCTCTTAGTCCTTCAAGTAAGAAACCTGTGCAGCAAAGAACACAGTATCTCAGGGTTAAAGAACACAATATCTCAGGGATGAAGAACACGATATCTCAGTGTTGAGCAGAAATACGCTTCAGTCCATTTGGAAAATTTTTTTATTTCTAATTACTTAATGAGGTGTAGTTAGCTTCGGTCCCTGAGATTTCTATGTGAAAACCCAAAGCTTAGATGGAGAGATATGGATAGTTGGATGGATGGCAGTTCTTTAAATCATCCTTGGTTTGACTTCAGAGAGTCTTTTTTATTTGCTTAAAAATTAAATTAATAAATGCAATATAGTGCTTTGTTTTAAATATCTGCTTGCATTTCTTTTGTAATCAACCTACATTCCTTTCTTCTTCAACCACTCCAGGAGCTAAGCATGTTATGGATTTAAATACCATTAGTATACTTTTTTAACTGGAAATGCAAGTTTGAACTCTCCACTACACATGATAAAGATAACTCAGCACTAAAAACACAGACAGTCACATTTTGCACTTTTTGGTATGAAAATATTTGAAAATACATAATACAAGAGCCATGTGTCATTAATCATATCCATGTCAGTGACAACAAACATCATTAGATCAAAGCATCAAAGATAAATAAGAATTCAGACTTTACATAAAGAGGAGGAAAAAGTGTAACCATATAGTCCATATAAACAAATAGAGGGGAGAGGAAGAATCAAAAGAGGTTTGCTTCTAATTCCCTTGCAAAAGCTACCCATGCAGGAGGGAAAAGGTGATCCAGCTTATTCCTTCTTTGTGTTAAGTTGATGAATAAAGGACTTTTCATGTGTTAGTCAAGTTAGGTAAAAAATTATATCAAGCATCATGTCCAAAGAATCAAAACATTTTTAAACAACTCACAGAAACCATAATCAGATACTTTAAACCATATTCTTTAAATAATTTCATTTCCCTCTCAAAAAAAAGTCACCTTTATTTGTTAATTACATTCCCCTACACAAAGTAACCCTTGTGTCTTCCTCTTAGGTTCATATCTGTCTTCAAGCACCAGTGAACCCAGCCATTCACTGGGAACAAAAGCGCCCACAATTCCAACTTTCATTGGTGGTTTCTTTTTTCACTGGACATAAGCCAGGCTGAAACTGTTTGAGGGGGGAAGTACCAGACACACATAAGCCTCTATTTCCAGTCCTCACACAAGACACCTGATACAAGCCAAGATGAAGAGAAATCCAAGGGTTTAGTGTACAAGCATGGGAACTCACAAGAGCAAAAGAAAGTTGGAGGTACAGCAGAAAAGGAAGGGGGAGGGTGGAAACACGTGAATTTGGCTTTCAGCTAAAAGGTCTCTCTCATTTTCCCCCAGGTGAATGTGCTGTTGTTGCTACACAGAGACCTGTACAGCTCAGGTGTTCTGTGCTTAAAACACACTGATTTTTAACTAACCAGTTCCAGAAAAAAGACCTTCCATCAGGAGAACTGATCGCTGCTGGTGAGCAAGTATTTCTCATTCTTAACTGTCCTTTAGTACAGCAATGGGGTTTGGTTGATAAAAGCATTACAAGACTAGTTATACAAAGAAGTGATAAATGCTTAGAGATTAGCTAGTAAACCATTTGTTCTGACAGAAAGGTGAAGGCAATTTATACAGCGTTGGCTGCAATTTTTTCTCTTAATTATCTAACAGTGGGTCATGTAACATCAAAAATTCAGAATATTGAATTTAAACTGCCTCTAGCTACAGCCTCATAATTTATCCATTCAAAACCCTATTACTTTTCAATAGGATGATAAGCATTTATTTAAGCTTCAGATAATTAATCCAGTGACTTGAAGAGATTTATACTTTGTTTTTTCATTAATACATCATGAAAGAAAGGACTGATTATTGCATTCCATACCTGCTTTATAGAGATGTTATCTGATGTGATTTAAAAGTCATAACTATTTATGTTTAAATAGCATTTTAACATGTTAAAATAAAAGGTTTTTTATTAACCTCTAATATGTAAACTGATACTAAATGTAGTTATTAACTTTCACACAAAGTTGCTACAAATACTTATTTATGAAGAATATAGTAGTAAGGTGTAATGATCTGGTTTTGTCAGCACAAACGTGAAAAATTTGAATGGGATTTTTATTACCAAAAAATCCTCATCCCCCAGACTTAACTAAAAGTTAGTCTCTCCTTAGGAAACACTGGGAAACTTTGCATTTTCTTATTAAACATCCATAATCTTCAATCATCAAATTAATGTGCATAATTAATAAGCTCCAAAGGAGCCTCCTTTCTAAAACTCAGTCACCAGTAGCTAACTTGAACAAGTCTAAGGAGGAAAGCGTGTGCAACTAAGAACAACTCTAGAGCTGTAATGCCACGGGAAAGGGGAAAGGGAACTGCTGTGTACAAGACTGAGGGGAAAAGAATATTATTAATTATTTAATTATATCCAGCAATGCAGGAAAATGTCTTCAGAAATATAGAATTCTTACTATAAGATTATAATTCCTTTATTTTTAAACACGCAAATTTTTCTTCAGACACTTCTATAGAATGCTTTTCTTATATTGAGGTTGCCACTTAGTGGCAGTGTTATTTGAATTTGTTCACTGGAAATTGAACTGTTAACAGTGACGTTAGTAATGTTGAGGAATTCAATAAAGTAAGGATAAAAGCTGCTGCACTTTTCACTTTTTTTCTGTCCTAAGAAGCACAAAGCAGCTTCTTTTGCCAGTGGTCAGGGCTGTAATTCCACACTGGATATCACTTTTAAATTCAAGTTTGAGATTTTCTTTATCAATAGAAGCAAAAGTGCTTTGGGGGATTATTTTTTTTAATTATTTCAATCAAAGAACTTTCTCAAGCAGTCATTCTGGTAACTCCTAAAGCTCAGCCTCTGAAAAGTGGAAACTCTGGCAAGACCTGATAAGCCAACTGGGTGGTATGCTGGGTTACATGTAGCATATTTTTTAACTTAGTTCAAATCATCAGGTATCCACCTCAACACAAGAGCTTTAATGCTTAAAGATGATTAAAAGAAGAAAGGTAGAAAAAAAGAGATTTATTTAAAAAAATATGGCTACGTAATGCCTTTCCTCAACCATCACTTTTGTTCTCTGACTTGTCAAGATCAGAAGTTACTCTATTTCTTATAACAATCTTCATCAGGAAGAGAAGCAAACAACTTCAGAATACCGAAACAGCCAAAAGTACAGATGGATTGTCTTATTAAGCAGGACTTCAGCTAAAAATCAGTTTAAAAATGCAATGAAGAATGGGAAAGTCTTTTGTTTTTATTGTGAGAAGCAGCTGGAAATTTCTTTTACATATATCTTACAATCTTTAACATCGTGGGTCACAGAGTGCTGGTTAAAAAAAAAAAGATGGCAATTTCAACATTTTGGAGGGATTTGTCAATTTTACCTGGAGGTAAATACTTGTCAATTTTCCTTTTTTATTAACAGGGATATCATGAGACATCTTTTTGACCAAAAAATCTGCTATCTATGAAGAAGATCCCATGCCGTTACATTTCATCAAAATTTAAAAATTAACAGAATGAACAACTAGTAGCACTGTCTCAAAATTTTTGTGATCCAGTATTACAACACTGTACTAATTCATAAGAATCAAATCCTCAGTGACCAGAAATGAACTGAAATGAACTTTTTTCCCCGGATTACACTATAGTGAGAACTGTCCCCTGCAGCCTAATTTTGACAGCTGAAATCAGTGCTGCATGACAAAATTAAGTGTCTCCATTTTGCACTTGTCTCACAAAGAAAGGCATTTCTAGAAATAACCAAAATTGTGTCAGTAGTATAGTTAGGATCCCACTAACACATGGATTTACATTCTATGAGGTGACAAATCCATACAACTAAATCTGTTGCTTTGCTTCCCAGTTTCCTTGCTGCATTGAAAGGCAGAAGAAGGCATCTTGAAGAAATAATGCTCCATTCAACATTGGCCTTGTCTCTCCTGCTAATTGCGGTCTCTTCCAACCTTGCGATGGCAATCAAAAAGGAAAAAAGAGCACCTCAGACACTGTCAAGAGGTACTGTATACTTACCTTATGTGGTTACCTCCTCATCTTCCCATATATAGGTCAGCAGATGTTTTTATTTAGAATATACCTGGAAGCACCCTTACTAAGGTCTTTTTCTCTAATGTTAAGTGACATCAAGTAGTGCATCTTCTTATTCCATGTCATTTCACTCCATCAGTTTGTTCTTAAGGATATGGCTGAGGGCCTTATATAATCCATGTAATGTATATAACTCACAATGACCTAGTAGAAGCTAATAACTTAAACTGAATCTCTCAAATCAGGACTACAAGTGAAAAAATATCCTTTCATGCATCAGTTAAAAGATATTTTGTTATGGTAACTTATTAACTACTGAAACACAGTTTCATAACTTCAGTTGCTGTAGAAAATTTTTTCTATAGACCCATTTTTATTTTTATACACAGAACAACAGTTTAAGCTACTGGTGGGTTTTTCTGTGTGACCATTTTTGCTTTTGCTTTTCATCAAATAGTCACAGCAATGTTTTGCAGTGAATAATTCACTTCTTTGCAGTGCATAATTTTGAGCCTGGATGTTAACTAAAGATCCTATTTTAAGGGTTTTTTATATGCCTGATCAATCCTTAGAAATACAAGCAGAAAAATATCTTACCGAAGTGTTTTCCTCTCCTCCATCTTGTGTCTCCTTTTGGGCCTATTCACCCCCAAAAAGTCTCCAGCTCCTTCCCTGACCTCTTCTGCAAGCTGTGCAAAGCCTGCAGAGCCCACAACTCACCTCTAAGGTCTTCCCATACAAAACACTGGTAAAGCCCCACCCGTCACAAAGGTCCCAGATGAGTCTAATTGCTCATGGAGCACTTGACAAAACCATGCGTCACCTGGACTAACTAAAGAGAAATTACAAATTACTTCTCGTAAGTGATATCCCCAGAGAAAGGTTATAATTAATCTCATCCTTATTGTCTATCTTGTCTAGATCAGGATTTATTTCTCCCACTAAGCCTAATGCATAAAAAAAACCTCAAATCCCTTCAATTCTGGAAATTCTGAAAAAAAAAATAGTCACAGAAAGCAAGTGTCAGTTTTCTGATTCTTATTTCAGGCCTTTTGGGATGCCTTGGGCACTTTACCTGTAATTTTCACAGATCAAAGGCGAGTACTTAAACCTGCTGCAAAATTACCCTGGCTGTAACCTTGGTGCAGTTATCTACGCCAGCGCAGTTGGCTTCAGCCAGGGCTGTGGACACACTGGTCATCATCCCAGAATCCCATCATCAACCAGGCAGATCTGTAATTGAAATCACTCTCCTGAAAGAAGAGATGGTCAAGTAACATCATAAGCAGTTGTCCCACAAGAAAGCTAACAGCAAATTTCTGCATAGCCAGGGCTGGTCCAAGCACTGACCAGACAGCACAGAAGAAAAAGAGCCTTAAACAGGTCCAGATCCAGAAGTAGTTCTACAGTTCCTGTGGATGCATTCCATCAGGAATGGAGAAACACTGCCTAGGAGGCAGGGATCTACTACCCAGGGGCTGACATCTTTGGGATCTGAAGGCATGAAACCAACTGGACAGTTTGCTTTTTGAGATCAGTGTATCACCAGCTATGGATGACCTATGAAGATGATGATTCAGTAGAATTTTGTTTTGGTGGAGATTTTTATTTAACAGCCACTCTTTTATTAAATTATTTAAGTAAATTAAGTACTTGCTACTCTAGGGATTGAAATTCATTACTCGGGACTTAAGTTTATAACTCAAGACTGTTATAATGACTTCATATTAAAATCAATCTTATCTGAGCTGTCGTATTTTATTTTTCTCTCCAACTTTATAAGCCAACTTTCTCTCTAAGCCCCAAAGTCTACATGAAATATGAGGCAGACGATATAAAGATATAAAAGATTTGAGTGCTGATTTAGGCACCTCTGAATATTTAGAAAGATATCTAACAGGTTTACCAAAGGACTTGAACTGGATATGCAACTAGCTATGTTTGGGGGTGGGAGGGGTTGGGTTTTTATGTGTTTTCTTTTTAATCTTCCAGTGTACCTATCAGGAGATGCAGAATTAGATTTTCCACAATGTCTGGAAACTTTTGACTGAAAAATCTAAATTCTATTTGTGTACAGCTATTGATAAATATAAAAATGAATTTGTTACGAATTACTTGCCTGGCCACCAGTTAATCTTTTTGTTATATTTCTAGGATGGGGAGACGAAATCATCTGGGTACAAACTTATGAAGAAGGACTTTATCAAGCAAAAAAAGGGTAAGAGATCTAAAAATAGTTTGAAAGACACAAAGTTGTTAATCAGTCATGCCTGAATATATTGTAATGAAACAGATCAAAGAAACACCATGACAGCTGATCTGTAGACCACCCAGTTAAACATAACAGATTTTGTGTATATAAATAAAAGCCATTGTAGGGGTCTTATGACTCCTACAGGAAACATCATGGGCTGATGGGAAAGTCTGCATTCAATGCTGTAATTTCTTCGTCTGACCAGCAGTGTTGTCATTTCAATAAGCAATGATACATTGATATTATAATTCAAAAAATACCTTTTTTTAACATCATGTACCACTGATTACTTCCTTAATCTACAGCTCGAAATCAGTTACATTTGCTCTTGCATGGTGATCTACTGCCTCTGATATTTTCCCCAACACTTACTAGTTGGCATATGAGCATCCACAGTTTTTCACTGTCCTGGTATAAATAAAAGTTACAATTAGAATCTTCACTGAGATCCAGCTGAAAATATATCTGAGAATTCATCACAATACTAATTTCAATGTCTTTTACAATTCATTTGAGATCATAATAGTGTAGAATAAGCTATTGTTAAATAGAAGGCAAATTATTTTTAAAATAAAAGGCAATTAATTTCATGTTTCATACATGAAAATGGCTAGAAACTGAACAATTCTTGACAGTGATAGCAGACCAAGTATTAGTAACTGATTTGCTGAACAGTAGTTTAAAAATACAGGAGAAAATGCATAGAATTGTTTTCTGTTTTGACACCCCAAAATAAAAAATATTGACACTTTATCAACTATTTATAGGAAAAAAAATAATTTACTATGTAGCTGTTCAAGAAAGCTTAAAAACATAAAAGTATTTGATGATAAACCCAAGTTTATAAAAATTATTTTGTTCCAATTTATATAGATTATTTTTATTTTCTTAATGACTGAGAATTTCACAACTAAGCATTATTAAATACCTCTTCAGTTTGGTTATATACTAAGTAGGAATGAAATTATAACATTACTGTTGTTTGTTTCTTGTAGAATCTTACTTTAGAAACTCTAGTTAGAGATAAAAACTGTATTTATCGCTTTCTTTTGTGAAGGAATTATATACTTTTGACTTGCTCAAAAAATGTCTCTTCATACAATATCTGTACGGTTTTACTGTGGATTAACGTAAAATGAAATACAGTTTGCCTTTTTCAGTCTGCCTATTTGCATACTTGTCAAAGGATCTAACTACATGTTCTATTATTATTAATAAAGTAACAAGCCACTGATGGTCATTCATCATTTGGAAGACTGTCAATACTGCCAAGGTAATTTTGATATTTTGAGTATTACAATTATGTGAATATTTCTGTAATAAACTGCACCTATCAATATATTTCCTTTACATTTTCAGAAAATTATTTAAAGAAATAGGTAAATTAAAATGTATTTTAAAAAGCTAAGAAATTATTGCTGTTATTTACAAAAACTCCACTAGGAAAGTACCCAACAAAGAACATGAAAAATATCCAGTGCTGCTCTCCTGCTATCGCTGATGCAGCACTCATCAGTTTAAATTGAGAGATACAGATTTGCTACTGACTCAGTGAACAGATTTAACATTGTTTGGCCCTCCTGAACTGGTAACTAGAGAAGGAGATGAGGACAGGGCTGCTGAAATCGATCCAGTAAGAATTTTCTGAGAATAATGCACTTTTGTCAAGCTGACACTTGGTATCCAGCGAGACGACAGACTTCATAAATCACAGAAGAGAGCTTCCGTTTCCATAGCTAGGAGGTTGCACTGACATGGGTCAAAAAAACCCCTAAAAAGCAGTAATAGAGCCCTTAAGTGTCTCCTCAGGAATGTGAGTCAGCAGAGGCAGGAACAATGTGGCCAGTCTCCAGCCAACACGATGCCTAACGCGGGAGAAAAGGCAGTGTTTGAGATGGGCTTCAAAATTATTTTGTCTTTTCTAGCACTGAAGAAAGCTTTTGCAGAAAATGAAGAGATACAGGAAATGGCCCAAAATAAATTCATTATGCTGAATCTCATGGTATGAAGGGTTTGGGGAGGTTTTTTTACTGCTATACTTTTTTTCCCTGTGTTTTCTCTCTATATGTCTTGCTTTTTCATGTCATTTTAGCTAAATATCTCTGCCTTTTCAGTTACACGTAAGTACAGGCATTTGTGCATGTGCATATACACACAGTACCTTATTTTTTTTGTTCTCTGATACAAGACTACTCACAGGTGGTAGTACTTCACCAAAATTCACATAAATATTTAATAATTAGCTTTAATTTCTCTGCCAGCATGAAACCACAGATAAAAACCTGTCACCTGATGGCCAGTATGTGCCTCGAATCATGTTTGTAGGTACGTATAATATTTATGTATCTTCAAAGATGTGATAGCTGAACCTATTCATTGAAATTATTCATTTTGCAAAAAAAGAAAATATCTCAAAATGTATAATTACCACGACATTAGTCTGGAACTTGGCAGATCTGAGTTCAATTCTCCCTCTGTCACAGGCTTGGACCCTCATAAACTTTTCTGGGTTACAGATATGTTCTGGAAGGTATTTAATTAGTGCAAGATGCTTAAATGTTTGTTAGCATCTGGATCTTTGCTCTCCATGCTTCTTGTTAGTGCTGTTACAAGACCAAGTTTACTGAAAACAATCAAATATCTGACTGAATGTAGATGTCTACAGTGTGGGCATTACCACAGAGCAAGTGGCATCTAAGGAATGATTTATCCCGTTGTAAAGCTGACTTCTGGAACAGATCAAATGAATCATGCCCCTGAGTGCCTGACCCTTTCCACTGGCTGTACAGGTAGCCTGAGGAACTAGCTCTGTGTTGGCATCCAAAATTAGGTGAGATGAAGCCCAAACTCAGACAGCAATGTAGTACCAGGAGTCAGTCAGTTAACAAGAAGTTTGGAAGGGGAACTGGGAGATGTCCCCAGCAACTTGCTCCTATGATGGAAACATTAAGAATCACAAGGTTGTCATTCTGAAAGCTCTAGTAGGTCTTGCTAGTATCACATTATGAACAAATGACCCTCACTGTGTGTGTATCCAGACAAACTGGCCTCCCCTGATGCAACTTGTAAAACAGGTTATTTTTCTTTAAATATGAATGAAATGCATGTGTAATTTATCACTTAAAAATAGCTGCATAATATAAAAAAGAGCTGTAGCTTTTGTTCAGGATTTCATTTGGTTGGAACAGAGTGTAACAATCTGGTAATTACCTTGTTGATGAAATCAGAACACCTCAGAAACAGGGCTGTCAAAGTAGCGCCATGGACATTGCCCTCAGCTCTTGTGGGACAGCAGTGTTTAATACAATTACTTTTTCAGACCCATCTCTCACAGTGAGAGCTGATATCACTGGAAGATACTCCAACCGGCTCTACACTTACGAACCACAAGACATACCATTCTGTAAGTGCCACCTTCATTGTGTTACTTTGCATTTCACATTATAAGCAGCCAGATACACCCCATCCAAATCATTTGTGCTTGAGAGCCCATTAAGATCTCAAAGTAATGAATAAGGACTGTGTGTGAGCATTTGCAATAAATTGTAATACTCTAACCTGTTCTAGTGAAACACTTAAGCACATCTATTGTCCCATTGAATTTATTGGGACTATTCAGGTAAGGCAAGCCAAAAGATCAAAGGTGGGAACTTTCAGGATCAAGATCTGAGCAGTTTGATGGAGAATGGTGAAAGTCACTACTACGCTCAAAGATAACCAACTGCACAATGTAAACAGCCAGTGGTGAGAGGGAATCAGAAAAGAAATGCTGGTGGTTACCTGGGTACCACCTAACACCCATATTTCAGAAAGGAATGTGATTTTTCAAGTTGAGCTAGTCCTTACTCTATAACAACTATTTGACACCAGTGTAGTATCTCACCAGCACTTCACATCTGATTACCAGGCTTGCTATTCAAAAGTGAGGAAGTTGAAAAGAGTCTTGTCAAATCTCTTTAAGTAGAACATTTTGATTCCTGAAACTTTTTAATTTTTGCCTTAGTATCACTGCCAGAATTTTCACAAAAGAAAGCTCTAAAGTGTAATGTATGACCATAAATTAATTTCAATGTGAACAATTTACTAATCAAACTAGGTGGGTTTTTTTAATTACAAAAATGCATGTTAAGCACATTTTTACAGTTCTTTTTTATTTTTCTTTCAGTAATAGAGAACATGAAGAAAGCACTACGCCTTATTCAGACAGAACTGTAACCAGCAACAGTGAAATGACCATAGCCTCTGCGAGGTGAAGATGCACTAGGAAACCTGACATTTTTAAATATTTTAGTTAACCTTCCTGTCTCTACTAGACTTTTGAACTCCTGCCAAGCAGCTTTGGTATCACAGAATTCATAAGGAATTTATATGTACAATTTGAAGACCATAGAAAGACTATCATGTCCATTTGGAAAACAAAAGGAGAAATCTATTAAACACTTTGAAATTAGGTATTTGAATAACTGAAAGTGACGGTTTAAGGTGCAGCAACTTTGAGCTGTATTCTATCATTCCAACTATGACTTTGTTAAGTCAACTATGACTTCCAGCCAAGAGATATAACCAATCTTTTAGATGTTTATTCGCAATTTGTTGTATATGTTAATAGCCTCATCTCAGCTCCTAATTTTTATTTTTATTGCAAGAAGCTTGTAAGTTGCTACTGTAATTCTACTTTATGCACTTATTTCTCATTAGAGGAAAAGCGGCTTTCCTGGCAAATCAGACAGAAAGGCTCTTTCTATAGACTTTGGAATAGCTTATATAGGAAAAAAAAACCAAAAACCAGTGATCTGAGCTTAGCTTCCTCTGTATAATACTTTAACTGAAAAGCCGAAAACAGAACAGTCATATCATAAAGGTGATAATCATCAAATAGCAACTACAGGTTTTGCTATGATAAAGATACAGTGAAGCAATAGAGATGGGAGGAGATAGTCCCAGAACTTCACTCCTGAGGCTAAATGAATCTTGTAAAGTCTGGTATGGGAAAAATGAGCAGGCTCATCCTAGTTTTTTACATTTAAATGGCATTTGAGCCATGTGAAGCTCTTCCTAGGTCATTCCCTCTTTTTCTGACATCATGGTGTCAGACATCACAATGGCAGTTTAGGGAGGGGATCTGTACATGCGAAGTCTTCACAAAACTTCCCCAGGATAATCGTATGCAAAGGCAGATGCCTGTTTTGAGTAAAAAGCTGAAGTCAGTTGAAATAGTTTATTATCCCAGCAATGTGCTTTTGCACTGGAGCAAGATAGTAAGTTATTCACCTGCAGTAAGAGTAGGTATGTTATGTTATGTGCAAAGCACCAATGTCACATATTTGTGCTGCTATTTCCTATGATGCTGCCTCTATATACATATAAAAAATGAAGGAGAGATCTTTGTGAGACAGCTTTTCTAATTTACAATGTCTGGTATTAATTTGTCATGAATGAGTTATATTACACCTATGTCTTCATAATTATGTAAAATTTGGACATAAGCAAATAATCCAACAGAGTGGTGATAAATTACCTGTACACAAGAGAAAAAAATTTTGTAGTAGTCATTAACAGTATATTGTCTTCATAATCAGTTAAATTATCTTTTTTAACCTATGGGAAAATGCTAGAAACAAAATTAAACTGTTAATCACACTCCTTTGAGTTGTGTTTAGCTCTACACATTTACGTCTGTATCTATTCTAGATATGGCAACATTTCCCAGCCTATGGGAGAGCAGAGAGGACAGAGACAGGCTCTTTTCAGTGGTGCCCAGTGACAGGACCAGAGGCAATGGGCACAAACTGAAACACAGGAGGTTCCATCTGAATATCAGGAAACACTTTTTTTACTGTGAGGGTGACCAATCACTAGCACAGGTTGCCCAGAGAGCTGATGGAGTCTTCATCCTTAGAGATACTCAAAAGCTGTCTGGACATAGTCATGAATACTTGGTTTTAGGTGGCCCTGCTTGAGCAGGACATTGGACCAGGTGACTTCCTGAGATCTCTTCCAGTCTCAACCATTCTGTGAACTCAGCAGTCCCTTCTCAGTGGGATTATTTAGCTAGACTTATAACTTTAATGCTTTTAGAGAAATATCAGATAAAAATAGTGAATAGAAGAGAAGGTCTATTTGTTTAATTGACTGAAGGAAAGTTGCAAAAGCAATATAATTCACAGCAAACAGGGCCTTCCTTGACTTTTACAATTTAAACTGTCAGCATTATAGAAGCAAGGGCTGGCCCTCACAGCAAGTGAATAGGTAACATGCAAGAGCTATTCCTAGATCAAAGGACAAGCTGTGCTCACTCTGAGATAAGGTTATCAAACTCAGCCCGCATCTCATGCCAGTGGTTGCCCTCAGTGAATTTACTGTCCTGATAAATCCCGATGTGTAGCTTTTGCTCTGTTTTCTCTGGGAATAGTGCATATTGGCTACCCCCACTCTGTCCAAATCAAGTTTATTCATTCTTCCTTGCTGATAACAATTGCAAATAAGATACACACTCATATATGCTTACTTTGGCTGGTGCAGGTTTGTATTTAAAAAGGACAGTATTGTCATGCTTTCCTCTTAGCATCCATGATGCAGCAGGTAGGGTATCAAGCTTAAAAACTGGATGCTCAGATCAAATACTTCTTGGTCCTTATAGAAACACTGAACTCCTGTATATATCCTGTGTTCCACTTGGCTATGAGCGGTTGGGTGTGAACTTGCTTGATCTGAAATTTGTATGTTAACTTTTATTTTACACAAACATTAGCATACTTAGGGACTACACTTGGCTCACTTATTTTAGTGGATCCATTCATAAGCAAAGAGATGCCTGTCAAGAATCTACAAAGCTGGAATCCTAAAAGATTTGTGACTCAGGACTGCTGTCCAGAACTTGCCTGGGCTCAGGAAGGCTAAACTCTGCAATCTGACTGACCTCAATGCTGTAAGATAAAATAAACGGTAGAATTATCACTAACTTATGTTGTGGAAGAACAAAGTAATGCAAAACCTGGGCTTAGAAGTCTACTGTTGTTCTCCTTATTTTGGGCATTTGCTATTGAGCCAGCAGACAGGAAATAAACTATGTGAATTAAATAAATACTATATTATAAATAACAAAACTTTCAGAACTATAAAATTATCACTGACTTTCATTCTCAAACAAAATTTAGCTTTTATATCTACACTGCAATGCACGTTATTTTAGCATTTTAAGAAAATCTGGAATAATTACCAAAGGTATTATTGATACTGGTTCCATCTGTAATCTAGAACAGTATTTTCCACTGCAGAAATTTTTCACAGCTTTGACAAACCACTCATCCAAGCTGACAGAAACCGCTTACCAGAAATGTCACAGGCACATGAATACCTCTGTGTCCAATGAGATCTACTTTGCAAAGAGGCTAAAGGGGATTTCATCCTCTTCTTTCCTTCCTCAAATCCCCATAGGTACCAGGCTGAAATATGTTCTCAACCATAACCTTGAGAAATGGGGCTAAATCTTTGTGATTCTTAAATATTCAAGACCAGTCCTTTTGGTGGAGCTAGATATTCAGGTAAAAAACACCCTGTATGTTGCACACATATTTTCCATTCACAGCTTAGTTCAATTTTCATCCTTAACTTTACAGTTGCTACTATCTTTCCGTCTTCTCCTCTTCAAAAATTATTTTGCTAGGTAATATCTCTCCTGATGGAACAGAAACTCATCTCAGATTAAAGTCTCATTGCTCAGAATAAGATAATACATCTGTAGCCTCTGCAATGGCAGACAAAATATGATTCTTCCCTCTTTTTTTCCTCTGAAATTAATGGCATGAAACACTACTCCCTCTTTTATTTGCTTCTTGCCTGCTTGTATGCCACACAGCTTTATTCTTAGTATTAGTGTGCAGATTTTTTAATTTCCTCTCATTCTGTCTCCTAAGAAAGAGTGGGAAACTGTTCCTTTTTTTCCTTCATTAACTTGAACTAAACCAACCAGTCTTATTTGACCTCCACTGTTTAGGTGAGAGCTGAAGGAAAAGAAAAATAGACTGAAAATGTGAATGCAAGGGCAGCATTTGTTTTACACAGAATAAATTCAGCCACAGAATAAGGGCCAGTAGCTGAGAAAGCCTACCTGTGTAGACTGTGTGCTTTCACAGAAATCACAACCTATTAAAAAAAT